GGTCGCCATTGCCGCAGGTGGAACCGGAAGCGGGGGCGGAGGCTGCACGGGCGGAGCACCAACAACACGTCGCGGTGGGACGAACGCCCCTCTCGCCACTCTGCCTCCCGCCCCCACAAATCCCATGTCCGGGAGTGGGGGAATCCAGGGCAGAGAGGGATAGGGCGCGGATGAAACAGGATGCACAGGGACGGGGGGGGCTCGATGATCACCAGGAGCCTGAGCCTGCGGTAGCGCCGAGCCAAGCGGAGCAGGAGCAGCAAGGGGCGTGGCTGGAGCCTGCGCAATCACCTGCGCCGACGCGGGGGCTGGAGCGGCGGGAACCTGGGAGCTTCCAAGATTCGGTGCGCCATTCAACGCATTGCGCATCGCCGCAGCTAGCATCCCCGGGAAATCCTCGCGAAACTGCTGCATCTCGCTCGGCCCACCGCTCCCGCGACCGTGACCTCCCCACCAGCCACCGCGGCCCCCGCGGTGCGCCGATCGGTACGACGACGAGGGGCGACGGCGAGGAGAACTGCGCCCCCGATGCGCAGCCGCATTGCCCCCCGCGGCACCGCGTATCTGAGATTCCGCGAGACGCTGCGCGACGGGATGTACCGGCGCAGCTGCAGGGGCCACCTGGAGGGCAGGGTCGGGGCCGGCGCCCGCCGCTGTCCCCAGCGCGGGGCCTCCGGCGCCAGCCTGGCCAGTCGGCGGCGCCACAGGCGACGGCTGCGCAACGGGAACCGGCGCGCCGATCGCGGGAACAACGTGGGGAAGACTTGGCGGGAGCGCCGGCACCGGCGGGATTAGACCCGGGGACGTTGCAACAGCGACAGGAGGAGCCAGGGGGGCCAAGGGGGCAACAGCAGCAGCTTGAGCAGCAACAGGAGCCAGAGATGGGGCATTCGCACTCTCAGCGGAGTGACCTAGGTCCACCGCTGACTTCTCCAGTTCAGTCGCCATCGCGGCGAACACGCCGGCAGCAGGCGATCGAGGAAGCACGGACGCGGCGAGACGTGGGAACAGACGGTAGCGGAACTCCACAACTGGCTGCGGCCAGCGCACGGGCTCGAGGGGGCAGAGGCGGAGGTCGCGGACGTGGCAGAGGCGCTCGGGAAGGAGGCCCTGAGAACGCGTTCTAGGTGGCGGCAAGGAGGGCTTTAACAGATTTAGTGAGAACTGATGCAGAAGGCGAACTATCGGGAAGCATTTATGAGGCAGGGGAGGAGGAAGCAGCCTCACCGACAAGTTCGGATGCCTCAGAGGAGGCCCAGTCACAACCACCAGCGCGGGGGAGAATCAGCTCAACCCAAGCCCGAAGCGCGTCAACAAATTTCAGAAACACCCCATCCCAGCCGCGACTCCCACCACAGATTCGTACCGCTTCCCGCCTGCCTGCCACCACTGTCAACCACCCGCCCCAACCGAATCTGACATCGCCACCCCCAAGTGTACCGCGAACTGCAGCGAGGGGTAACCAGCACCACCAAGAGCCCCCTCCCCAAAAGTCGCCCGAGGCCCTCGCAAGGGATGACGCACTTTTCGCGAATGTCAGCACCTGGGATTTGGATAAGCTGCGCGACAGTCGCAACTCACCTCTGGCACGTCGCCTGCCGGAAAAATTGCGCCTCCTTTTTGCCATGGTGGTGCTGACACCACTCATGCGACTGGCACGCGAACCTGACTCCCTCTCTGCCTGGACGGTTCTACTGTTTGCCGCCCGTTTGACTCTGCGTCAGCATTCGCCAAGACATCCGGATTGGAAGGCTACCGAAAAACGCCTGCGGAATTTCCTGCGAGGGGAATGGGAGGCGCTGTACCTGGAAACGATAGATTCACTGGAACAACCACCACCTCCTCGTCACGTGCCAGATGAGCTGGGCGCCATTTCCAGAGCTGAGGGACTGGCCCGCCGTGGCAGCCTGAGGAGGGCAGTCATGGCGCTGGAAGCCACCCCTGTCAGCAAACCCTCGCCAGCAGTGCTGGACGCCCTCCGCGCCAAGCATCCCAGTGCCTCCCGCCCTGACTCACCATGGCCCCAGCCCGAGCAGGACTCTCACCTGTCCGTGACGCGAGAAGCTTTTCTGAAGCTTCTCTCGAGGTGTGAGAACGGGGTGGGCGCGGGTCCCTCCGGCACAACATTCGAGCACCTGCGCGAAGCTGCCCTGCTACGCAGCACTGTTGGTTCCCACTTGCACGCATTAGTTAACACAATCCTGAGCGGGAAACTGCACCAGGAGGTAGGGAAACTTCTGACAGCATCACGGTTAATAGCACTAGACAAACCAGACGGAGGGACCAGGCCGATCGCTATAGGCGAATGCATCCTCCGCCTGGCGGCCAAAGCAGCGCTCACGCAGCTGGTAGACGCAGCAAGGGAATTTTTCTTACCTCTGCAGTTTGGCGTGGCCGTGCCAGGTGGAGCTGAGGCGGTCATCCACATAGTGAGGACCTATGTGGCGGCTAATCCGGACGCTCTAGTCCTGCAGGCGGACCTTGCAAATGCCTTCAATAGCGTTGACCGCTTAGCAATAGCGAGAGCCCTAAAAGGCTCACGATTGGAGCCGCTGTTACCACTGGTTCGCTTCTCATACGGCCATCCGTCCCTCCTTCACCTGGATGCAGCCTTTGCTCACCCGCCCTTGCACAGTGAAACCGGGGTCCGCCAGGGGGATCCCCTTGGTCCCCTTCTCTTCGCCGCTGCCATGCATCCAGCTCTTGAAGCCGCAGCGGAGGCTCACCCATCCGTCGTCTGCCTAGCCTACGCAGACGACGTCACCTTCCTCGGGGAGCCTTCGGCGTGCGTGGCTGCCTTTGAACACTTCACAAGCAACTTAGCAGAAATTGGGCTCCGCCACAACCCAGCGAAGTGCGGGGCTTGGTCCAGCGAGACGTCCCCGGACTGCCGCTTGCCTGAAGGAGTCCCACCCAGCAGCAACGGCCTGAAAGTGTTGGGCAGTTACATTGGCACAGCACCAGCAACTTCAGATTTCGTACGTACCAGTCTGGCGGGAATGAGTGCGCCGCTGGACCTGATTGAGCGGATGGACCCGCAGCTGGCGGGACTGCTACTCTCCCGGTGTATCTCCCGCCGGATCTCTTACCTCGCCCGCACGACACCTCTGCCGTTCCTGCCCAAGGAGGAGTGGTCTGGCTGGGGGCGGCGGCTGCTGGAAACTCTCCTCACGGCGTGCGGGATTAGCCATCCGCGGGGGGAAGAGGAGACGGCCCGTGCTTGGGCGCAAGCATCTCTCCCCGTGTCGCTTGGGGGACTTGGCCTAGCAGATCCCTCGGTGCAGGGGCAATACAGCTTCCTCGCCAGCTACACGCAGGCGCAGCTGCTGCTTGATTCCCTGGACACTGAAAGCATCGGCCCATTGGAGGGCACCCGCGGGCTGATGCGGGGCCCCTATACCCGAGCCTCCCCCCTGACCGAGTGGCTGGCGGAATGTGAAGAAGGGCTGCCTCTGCCGGCAATGGAGGTCCTGCAGACGGAGCGAGCAGCCCCAACAACGGGGAAGCTGCAGCACGGATTGGCCACCGCTATCCAAGGCCAGCGGTACGCGATGCAAGTGGAGGAAGTGCGAGGGATGCGGCCAAACCCTAACAACGGCCACACCCAACGAATGCTGTCCCTGTCAGGTTATGGGGCGGGTGATTGGTTAAATGCAGTGCCAATTCACCAATCGCTTCGGCTCGACGCTCCTCATTATGCCAACGCCCTCCGGTTCCGGCTAGGGCTCCCCTTTGCTGCTCCGGGGGTGTGCAACTGCACGAAGAAGGTCGAGATCTTGGATAAGCGGCTGCCCAATCACCTGCTGCGGTGCGGAACAGGGGGAGGGCGCACGAACACGCACAATGAGCTCAGGGACGAGTGCGCGCGAATGGCGAGGGACGCTGGCTTCATGGTGCACCTGGAATCAGCCGCCTTCAGCCCCGTGGAAGGCAAGAAGGCCGACCTAGCCCTCCGAGACCGCACTACTAGCGCTGTCTACATCTGCGATGTGACTGTAACGGATCCGATTAGCACCCGGGATGAGAATGCAACCAGAGGGCGAGGATGGGCAGCACGGGAGGCCGCGGATAAAAAGCACAGCCTCTACAGGGACCGCCCGGAGGGGGTCAAGTTCTTCCCCCTCGCGGTCGAAACGTACGGGTGCCCTTGCCCCGAGACAGTGGACTTCCTGAAGCTACTTGCAGAATCGGCCGCACGGCGGTTTTTCAACGCCGAGCCTACCTCCTACCAAGCTGCCAAGCTCTTACACCAATACAGGCAGCGGTGGTCGGTGGCTCTTCAAAGGGGGCAGTCAGTCGGGTACCAAGAGAAATGCAACCTCGCGGCAGCAGTTGAAAACCCGCTGCTTGAGGCGGTAGGAGAGGCCCCGTCACTTGGGGATTGCCTCACAGTTCTGGACCCCACCCTGGATCTCCCCTAGAGGGAATCACCGGGGGGGGTGAGGGGGGGGGAGGGAGCGTTGCAAGAAGAGTAGGAGGCTTTGATTTGTGACGACTGTTGCATGCCAATACCAATACCTTGCATGTGTGTACTCCACGATTATCAATGAAAGGGCCATTAGAGAGAGAGAGAGAGAGAGAGAGAGAGAGAGAGAGAGAGAGAGAGAGAGAGAGAGAGAGAGAGAGAGAGCAGAAAGCAGAAAGGAAATTCAAACAAGATAAGAAACAGGTGTGCACGACAGGTCGAACGAGTGGCTCTTGGCGAGCTACCATGTGCAACTATGTGCAACGAATGCACCATGTGCAACTATGTGCAACGAATGCACCATGTGCAACTATGTGCAACGAATGCACCATGTGCAACTATGTGCAACGAATGCACCATGTGCAACTATGTGCAACGAATGCACCATGTGCAACTATGTGCAACGAATGCACCATGTGCAACGAATGCACCATAGTGAAAGAGAGCATCTGAGTGAGACAAGGGACGAGGACATGCGTACTTGGGCAAATAAAAAAAATGGACAGCATATGCACGTGCGCAAACCCCTTCCCACCTGTACACATCAGCACTTATAGTGGCTTTATGAGTGATACTATAGACCGGGTCCACATAGCCCGGCGTGCCCATCACTCGCGTGGACTGCAGTGAGCGGCTGCCCTCGCCCACCCTCAGCAAACCAAAGTTTGCCAGTTTCGCCTGCAGGATGGAGAAGGAAGAAACAGACACAGAGAGATCCGCACTGCTGCAGAGTCACTGCTTATCCAAATCCAAAGAGAGTTGGCGGTTTGTGAAGAGAAGGCACCTGCATGAGATGTTGGCTTCTCACGTGATACCCATCAGTGCATGCACTCGCCTGCATGCCCATCAGCACATGCACTCACCTGCATGCCCATCAGCGCATGCACTTGCCTGCATGTTGGAGTCCAGGAGGATGTTGGCGGGCTTGATGTCGCGATGCACGATGCCAAAGCTGTGCAGATAGTCCAGCGCACGCGCCACTCCTATCAGAATGTCCACCCGCTGCTGCAGGGTCAGGGGGGTGATATTACCTAACGAGCTAAACAGAAGAGAGGAAGATAAGAGAGAAGAAAAGGAAAGGGATCAGAAGAAAACATAAGCAGGACCAAAAGCAGCAAGAAGAGGTGGAGCAGGCAAACTTGCCGTCCCTTTACATAATTTGCACAGCCACTATCAACCTTGACACGTCTCCTCCTACAAGCTTCCCTTCCGTCCCTCATCCCTCTACTCTCCTCCGTTCTTTTCTTCTTGCTCCCACTCCCCCCCTTGTTGTCGGTCCCACACCCCACGCTGCAATCAGCTCTATCCTCAGTGCCTGTCTGTGTGCGCCCCCTTGTGAGACGCGTAAGAGTCCGAGGGTGCCCATCTGTGTCACGGGCGTGCATGCGGTGGTGCCCTCCTGTGGCATCAGTGTGCATGCGGTGGTGCCCAATGGAGCCCCAAGTAGGAGCCATGGCTAGCGTGGCAGCGGCTGTTCTTAGCAAACAGATGCTTAGGTTAAGTTTTTGCTTGCTTGTAAAAAAACCTTGTGTAGAAAAAATTGGTGGTAACTAGTTTCGGCTCTTCGAGCCTTCTTCAGACCACAGGTTCAGAATGAGAAGCAAGCTAGGCTAAATACCAACCCCTAGGGCTCAATCGCGAGGCATTCCTCCGCGTGGCCAGGGAAGGTGGGGGAAAGCTAGATGAAAAACAGTAGAAAACAGATCTACAGTAAACTAGCACTTATGAGCTGAAATAAGATAATTACCAACTCGTTTTGGTAAACTCCAAGCTACAATTGCCCTGCGTGTAGAGAAAACGCCGTGTGACATTATACCGAGTTGACTTTTGAGTCGACTCAAAATGTTCCCCAGGCGCGAACGGTCAACCAGCGGGTTGAGCAGAAGTTTCAGCACCAGGGGGCCACGGGTTTGGGAGTTATGGATAGCAGAGGCACGCTGGAGTAGTTCCCCACGGTTAGCGAAGAGGACTGACTTGAAGATTGGGAGGAGAAATTTCTCTGGGTACCCACGTGCTCATAAACGAGCGAAGAATAAAGCGCGGGAGTTGAGAAAGTCAGTACGGGAGGAGGAGCGTAAGAGAAACATTTGTAGCTCACTCCAGATGAAGCCGACTTTAGTAGACCGAGTGTGATAAGACTTAAAAGGCAGGTACAAATACCGGTTCATCGGCTTCTGATACAGCTTCATGTCGAGAGTACCAGAAGTCGAGAATCTCTGCCCCTTAAAAACTGTCAAGTCCAGAAAATCCATTGTGGTTTCCGAAACAACCCATGTCAGTCGGATGGAAGGATGAAGTGAATCAAACCGTTGCCGTAAACATTCGAACTCCGCTCTTGTTCCCTCCCAGAGAATTAGCACGTCATCAATAAAGCGAAGATGAAGAGCGGGAGTGAGTTTGAGCGACGCGTGAAGTTGAATGTCCAGATAACTGAGAAACAGCACGGCAAAGCAAACGGCCACCGAGGTACCCATGGCAGTGCCTTGAATCTGACGGAAAAAACGGCCGTTGAAAGAAACGTAGCTGTTAAACATCACCCATCGAAGAAGACGAGTAATGACTGGCGCAAGAGGGTGCCGCTCCTTCTGTAAAAAGTAGGCGACAGCATCAATGCCATCCCAAAGCGGGATTGACGGATATAACGACTCGACGTCATAAGAGGCCAGCAGCAGGTTGGATGAAAAAGAGCGTTGCTCTAGTTGAAGAATGAGACTTTGAGAGTCTTTAACGTAGGTCGGCTGTCTTAGCACAAGCGGCCGTAGAATAGAATCCAGCCAACGCGATACGTTAGTAGTGATCCAGGAGTGGCAGGCAGCAATAGGCCTCCCAGCAGGAACCTTTTTATGAATTTCCAGCAGTATGTAGAACGCTGGCACCTTCCAGCCGTTCTTAGGCCGATCGAAAAAAGAATTCCAGATCTTAGATTTAATCAGCGGGTCCCAATCCGAGCGAATAATATGTAGCTCGTGAAGTATATCAGAGACCAGAACTGCAGAGTACTCCTTATAGACTTTGTCGTTGAGCAGGTGTTCCAGGCATTTTTCCTGATAGTATTCTCTGCTCATCACTGTCAAGCCCAGGTTCTTATCTGCAGGTTTGAAGATGATGTTAGGATTATTGGCAAGTCGTCTTAAAGTTGGTAGCACGTTCTTAGATTTCCGCGTTAGCGAAGAAAAATTCTGTCCAGTAACTTCTTTAATAGCTGCTTCCTTAAAGACCTCCAGCGCAGTTTCAACTTCAGGTGAGGCTGCCGGTGGATCCCAGTTTTCTCGTTTAGGTAGCTTATACCCTGAGTAAAAGGAAGAATCAGGTCCATTAAAGAGAAACATGGTACGAACATTTCTAAGAAAAGAAGAAATCTCGGCTTCAAGGCTAGCGACTGTGCGAATGACAGGAACAGGTATGAATTTCAGTCCTAAAGATAAAAGGTCGAGCTCAGGTTTAGAGAAGGTATGATTGCTGTAATTGTGGAGTCCACTGTTGGTGATTCGGCACTGCAACTGATACTCCGTCAGTCGTCCAAACAGTATCAGTGCGTAGGAGTGAACATCAGTCACTACTGCCGAGTCGTTTTTGCGTGGCCTCCTCCTCCCCTGTTTTTTGATGCAAATGCGTTTCGGTTACCAGGCTTAGAGCTGCTGCGCACCGCCGTCTTTGAGTAAGAACGGCCAACCGTCTTCACAGCGGTACGTTCGGCTTCTTCGGTTTTCTGCTTCTTGCTGTTGTTAGCAGCACCCTTGCCGTTGCTAGCAGTACCCTTGCCGTTGCTCGCAGCACCTTTGCTCTTATGACGGGAACCCTTGTCGTTGCTGGTCTTAGAAAGCTTAGAAGCCTGACGAGGCTTTGAGCCGTTAGCAGCAGCAGGTTTCCTGACATGAACGCCGGATTTGTCAGTACGAGACTTAGACTTCCCAGAAAAAGAAACCTTATCCTTCTTGTTGCTGGATGTCTTAGCAGTTGACTTCGCAGTTGACGATTTCAGCACTTTCTGTACTTCTTGGCGAGCGATCTCACGGACAGTAGGCTCGACCGGCAGATTCTCAGCTTTGACGACTGCAGCTTTCTTCTTAGCATCGAGGTCATCTTTCTTCTGCTTCAGGTGCACTTCAACCATATTGGTCTCCAGGTAAAACAGCGACACGGCTTCCTTGAACTCAGCCAACACCCTTATCTTTAAAAAGTCAAGGCTGTCGAAGATCCTCGGGTTCTTAAAACCAAGGTCTGACTTCTTGTTCAAGTTGATGAAATTGTCGATGTGGAAAACCAATGAATTATAAATCGCCGAAACATCACTGAAGGCTTGGTCTGCAGCTTTCTTCTTCGTGGTGATTAAAATGTCTTGAGCATTACGGCAATAAGCCAGCTTAGCCTCTTCAAGGTCTTTGTCTGCTTCCTGACGAATGTCTTCGGCATTGCAGATGAAATTAAAAGACTTGATACGGATGGACTGAGGAATAATACCTTCCTTCTTCTGCTCAACCATGAAATTGTACTGCTGCAGCAGAGTGCGATATTTCACGAATTGCTTCTTGAAGTCGTTAATCGCTTGAGATTTCAGGGTAGTAAAATAGGCCGGAGTAGCCTGCTTTTCCAGAAAAGAAATGTTAAAAGCACCAAGGAAATCAATGGAATCGGACATGATGTCGTCACGAAGACCAATGTTCTCATGGATCCGAACACCAGCTTCCTGCTCCCGAACCGTCGAAGTAGACTGATTAGCCATGGCGACGGGGATAATTCCAGGAACGGTGACCGATTTGGCAAGAGTAGCACCAGGAGATTCAAGAGCTCTCTTTTTGCAATGTCGGGAAACTGAAGGATCTTGTGGGTTGTCCCACTGAAAGACCGGCCCTTTATCCAAGCCTGGCTGCGAATTTGTTCGCGAAGCTCTCGGTGGCTTTGGAATGTACGAGGCGCGGTCAGCCTTGGTGTTGGATGTAGTAGTAGTAGTTTCGTTTGTGTTAAATTTATAGCCGGCCATCGCAGCAGTATCAACAGAAAGACCAATGGAGCCCCAAGTAGGAGCCATGGCTAGCGTGGCAGCGGCTGTTCTTAGCAAACAGATGCTTAGGTTAAGTTTTTGCTTGCTTGTAAAAAAACCTTGTGTAGAAAAAATTGGTGGTAACTAGTTTCGGCTCTTCGAGCCTTCTTCAGACCACAGGTTCAGAATGAGAAGCAAGCTAGGCTAAATACCAACCCCTAGGGCTCAATCGCGAGGCATTCCTCCGCGTGGCCAGGGAAGGTGGGGGAAAGCTAGATGAAAAACAGTAGAAAACAGATCTACAGTAAACTAGCACTTATGAGCTGAAATAAGATAATTACCAACTCGTTTTGGTAAACTCCAAGCTAAAATTGCCCTGCGTGTAGAGAAAACACCGTGTGACATTATACCGAGTTGACTTTTGAGTCGACTCAAAAGTCAACTTTTGAGTCGACTCAAAAGACGCGTAAGAGTCCGAGGGTGCCCATCTGTGTCACGGGCGTGCATGCAGTGGTGCTGATAGGAGTGGCGCGCGGGTTGGAGTCCCTCCACAGCTACGGCATTGCTCATCGCTGTCTCAGCCTCAAAAACATTTTGCTGGATGGCAGCATGCAGGTGAGTGTGCTGTGAGTGAGGGCGCCAAACACAAACATGCTGCAGATTCTTGTCGTGTGGAGCAACATTCCCTCCCTCCTCCCGCCTGCTCACTCCACGTGAGGCTATCCCTCCCGCCCTGCATGCCAATGTCAGATTACCATCCTCATTGTAACCTACATCAATCCTATAAGCCTAGGTTAGACATAGACACCCAAACCTAGTTTGGGTGTAGAACTAGCGCTAACCCTAGTTGGGGGTTGGAACTCAAACCTTGGACCAATGATTTCGCCCCCAAGGTTGGGTTGGGAATTATTGGCCCCCCCAATAATGTTGAACCACCTTTGGTCAACATTATTGGTCCCCCCAATAATTCCTCAACCCAACTTATTGGTGGGGGCCAATAATGTTGGCTAGGTACCCAACCAAACCACCCATCCTAGCACTACTATGTATACCCCCATTCTTCCTAATCAATCTATCTGTTCTTCTTCAACTTTTCTCACAGCCAACGCACCACACTTTTCCAACACAACACCACGCCAGGCGAAGATTGCAGGAATTGAACATCTGTCGCGCAGGGTGGGCGAGGGTTTGGTGGTGGGCGAGCTCGAGTATGTGGATCCGCACCTGCTGCTCATCCAGCACTTCACATTCACCAATGACCTCTACAGGTGCCAACCCAATCTCTTCTCCCTATTCCGCCAGTTCCCCTCAATCCGGCCATCTTTGTTGCAAAATACGTCACACACGTCATTTACACTTTTGAAATTACGCTGGCGTACAAACAATGTTACGGTGCTGACGACTGCATCCACCAGCTCCATCCATCCCATACCGAGTCACCATCTGGTTACCAACTCAGGGCGTATTCCTGGC